AAGCGCTGGGGTGATGTCGAGTTTTTAAACTGTTGCTCGCCAGAGGTGAAACGAATATTACGTTCTGGTGTTTAGGGCTGAGACTGCGTGAGTGAAGGCTGAGAAGAGAAGTAATGCTTTCTACAATGATTTCGTTTAACTCCGTACTTCAGCTCTTGTTACCCCATAATGTGCAGAACATGAGCATTTGGTCGGGTGGATATGTATACACACATACGCACACATGCTTATACTACGTTCATACAGAATATATATATATATATATATATATATTACATATATCGGCGACTGCGTTGAATCCTGTGTGTTTCGACCTTTAACGCATGAATTGTAATGGCGGCAAAATGCTGCAGTGAGCGGCAGAGTTGTTGAGATGAAATGAGACGAAGCGTGCGGACACTGCAGCTTTTGTGCCTTATATCCCCCTTTGTTCCCTCTAACAATAAATGCCATTTCGGCTTCCCTCAGACAGTCTACGGCACGCAAGCGCCCCACAAAGAAGGCGCTTTGCGGCTAAGACCTCAGTCTTTTGCCTTGCAGCACTTCCAGCGCTGAGAGGAATGATGAATGAAGGGGGGAAAGTGAAGTGCTGCTGCGAGCATACGGCTGGCTCCGCGTTTCTTGCGGTGTTGGTGCTGTCAAGACAGTTCAATGAAAACCTGATTTCCAGATCCGGAGAAGGAGAAAAAGGAAGAGAAGAAAGAGAAGAAGAAAAAGAAAAGCAAAAGATGACGAATGAGAATATTCATCATGAAGCGGCCGATCTTCTGCTTAAAAGAGGCGCTTGGAATACGCAATGCATATAATATATATACGCTATACAAATATATAAAAATAACACTGTATATTATACTTATACATGTGTATAATCTATACTCTTGTATATGGTGCATATTAGCGCTTCTATCACTGCACTCTTCGGCGTTGTATTTTATTCGTTTCAGGGCCCCCTGTCCCGCCTTCCACACGTCTTTTCCCCGGGTGTATATCTGCTGCTGAGTTTGGCGGCTTCTCATCGAGGCGCGCGCGGGTTCGCAGATCCGCCTTCGCAGCATTTGCTGCAGTTGCAGCAGAAGAAGCAGCAGCAGCAGCATATCTTGTTCCTGCTTTCGGCTGCACCCTCGCGGCGCCTGCGTTCCTCGGTGCAGTGCGCTGTCCTGCAGCACTCGACGTAGCGGTTGCTTCATCTGCTCCAGTTGTTGCTGCAACCGGGTGTACAGACACCACCTCGCTTTGTTCAGTTCGAATGCCACCACCAGCAGATCGTGCAGGCACATTCAACTCTCGGCGTCGAAGGCCAACACGCCCTCGGGTCCGCGCAGCAACACCCGGCATAGCATCACCAGTTGCTTTCTGCTGCTGCAGCTGCTGCTGCTGTTGCGCTGCCGCAGTGCTGCCGTGTGCAGGGGCCCTTGTCAGTGCGGTTTTACGCCGCCGTGCTTGGGGCCCCACTAGAGGCTGCTGTGAGGTGGTGTTGCTGCTGCTACTGCTGTTGCTGCTGCTGTTGCTGCTGCTGTTGCTGCTGCTGTTGCTGCCGTTGGTCTCTGTTACGTGCTTGGCAGCCTTAGAAGCCGTTGCAGCATCGTTGGTTTCTGTCTGGCGTTGTTCATCTTTATGCAGTTTTGCAGGCGCAGCGGTGGCTTCGCTTGTATTAGGGGGATCCTTAGTATTCTCTTTATCTCCTTTGTCTCCCTCTTCTGCGGCGTCGCTTTGCGCATTTTGTGGAGCGTCATGCAGCTGACCAGCGGTCTGCTGAGCTGCAGCAGTGGTCTCCCAGTTGCTGCTGCTGCTGGCCGCCGAGTTTGCAGCAGCATCATCAGAGTGCTGCTGCAACTCAGTCGAATGCCTTTCTTCCTCCTCGTTCTTCCGCAGCAGCGCTATTGCTGCGCGCTGCTCTTCATCGTCTCCGCTGTCCGACTCAACCTGCAGAACATCTCATGCAGATAAACACATTCAGAAAACCCGTGCACCAAAGGTGTCAATGCAGCTTCAACTCAACCAACAAAACCTTTGCGTACACTGCTTACACACATTGGCATATACAGATGATGGGTGTATGCATTTCTGCATGTATTTTTGCATGCAGAAATGCACGCATGCTTGTACACATACGTGCATGCACGCAGAAGCGGTTGAAAATGAGCAGTAAAAATGAGCAGGAACTAACCTCATCATTTGGCCCAGGAGCACCGTCGCGTATGCGTGTTGCTTCTTCTGGAGTTGCAGCTGCTTCGGGTTCCTTGGGTCTTCTGAGGATGAGTTCTTTGAACTGCTTGTTAAACAGCATAAAGTGCGACCAACCGCTTGACAACACAATGCCCAAGTAATGCACAAATACTTCCTCCGTCAGCAATCCCCCTGAAACCACAAAAGCAGGCAACCATACTAAGCCCTAAAACCCAATGAACAAAGGAATCTGAAAGCTAAAATAGTTGCGGGGGCAGAGGCTGTCTCGTGTTTCTTCTGTGCAGTACGCAGATACCCTCTGTAGCAGAGTGCACTGCAGATGTAGACAAGGCAAGAAAATATAATTAAAAACTTTGCAATAAATAACGCACCAGGTACAGTTGCTGCCACGCGTTCTGCTTCCTTTCGGACTCCATTAGTGAGAAGCACATGTCTGTAGGTATAGCGGTCATCGTTGTATCTCGGGGAGTAGTAAACATCGCCTGTGAACAATGATAACCACGCAAAA